CCACACAGGGACTCCTATACACACACACACACACACACACACACACACACACACACACACAGAAACACACACACACAGAAACACACACACAGCCACATAAAGGTTGAACTTGATGGACCTGTATCTTTATTCAACCTCAAATACTATGCAACTATGTACGTAACATTGTGCTCTGGGAATTCTTTCTTGTGAATCAAATGTTTATGTAGAAGAAAAAAAAAAAAAAAAGATTTCAAATATATTATAACGGCAATAAAAATAAAAATTAGCCAATGGTATTCCAGTCTTCTTTTAAAGGAGAGATAGGATGTAACTTTGACTGATCAACCTGCATATTATCCAGTCATCTCTGAATTGAGCTCCAGGAAAAGGATTTTACTGGTAAGCCAAAAATCCAGTTTTATTTCTGTGTTGCTGTTGGAGAGTTCCTCTCACTGCCTGTCTAGTATAATGTTACCAACAGGACAGGAAGTGAGTGGAAATCTCCTTAAAGGAGAATTATGAGGTGAGTGATATTCACTCTGAGCCGACCTGTGACAATGAAATAGGTCGGCTCAGTAGTACTGCAGAGAGCCGTGACTGTCACTCATGGCTCCCTGCAGGGATTCCCCCCCTCCCCGATCCTCCAGCGCTGACTGGCGGAACGGACGGGGAGGGGGCGGGAGCCAGCTGTCACTCACGCAGCTGGGTGGATCCAGACAGCATTGTCGGGATCCGTTCCAGCTGCGGCGTCTCAGTATACCGCTAGCTGTAGCTCCCTATATACTGAGCTTAGGGTGACGGGAGGACGCTAGTTTGTGTCCTCCCGTTACCCTAAGGAGAACTATGGGGGAAAAGCACTGAACGCATTGTTCTCCTTTAATGGAGCTTGGAAAGCAGCAAAAACCCAAAAGGGCTCTAACCTTTTCCCACTCCATCCAAAACTTAAAACAAGCTCGGCATACGTTTTATCTTCCCTGTTATCATTTTCTTTCAGTGACCAAACTCAGGACAAAGAACTGAACCTAAAAGCGTCCATCAAGCATATTGTGACGTGTAACCTCGAAGAGGAGAATCTAGCCCACCCGATGGTGTTACCTCTTGCCGACTGCGTCATCAGTGGAGGGTTATTGGACGTCGTCAGCAAAGATGAGGAGGATTACATGAGGAACCTGGAAAAAAACTCAAACCTGCTGAAAATCGGAGGTCACCTGATCCTGATTGGGGTAACAAATGCGACTTACATGACAGTCGGGGCGGATCGGATCCATTGTTTGAAATATGATGAGAGCTTTGTAAGATCCGCTCTCAGCAAGCTGGGCTTTGTCATCGATTACTGCGCCGTGCAGAGGAAACGGAATGTGAGCGATCTCGCAGATTATTCTCATGTTTATTTCATCGCAGCTCACAAGGAGAAGTAAATGGATCAGCCGACAGCCTCCAACATCAGTGAGAAGATGTAGCTACATCTGGACTCCAGGCAAACACCTAAATGCACAGAGAAGATACACATATAATAGTTATTTTGCATGCCAAATGATTTGTATTTATGTCTATGCAGTCTAGAGATGTACACAGCTCTGTGACACAGCACAGCCCGGTCTGGTAAGGGAAAGGACCTGATCTTTCCCTACTGCAGTTTCACTCTCACTTACAGGTCTCCTTTCCACCCCCACCCTGTGACTGGACAATGAAATTGTAAGCAGCGCTCCAATAAATTCATGTCTCTGTCACAATGATCTTCCCCTCTATCAGTATGTTTCTTGCACTTCAGCTCACCTGATTGGCTCATTGTACTGCCTAAACCTTACCCTCTCCGAGCTCTGCTGTACAGACTGCAAGGGGCTCATCACATTCAGGTGCTTGTATTAAAAACAAATACTTTTCATGATGTATACATAAATACGGAGCTGCATCCATTTGTGCCATTGATATTTGCCTGGAATTCAGCATTACCATTACAGCTAGATTCTGAACATTGTCACGGGTGATTGTGTGCGGAGCTGTTGCCTCTTGTCATATGTCTCTGTGCTGATTAACTCCTCTTCCACGCTTAGTCTGATAGGCACCAATGTGCGTCAGTAGGAGGAGTTGAGAATACCCGATCTGCATGTTTGTTTGCTTAGACACTAGTGTTCCCAGAACATCAGCTTCATATCAGCTCGGGATGGTAGTCGGCGTCCTCTGTATGTATTTTCCATTTCACTTCTATGTCAATCCCAATAAAATGATTACAGAGTATAAATGTGTATCAAAGTGTCATCTGTCATTACATACAGTGTGATCCTTAGACATTGCCCTGGTCACATCTTGCAGTGCTGGTAGTTTACAATCTAAAAGGTGGACAGAACAAGTTACTGAAGATACAGAGATTTTCATGATTGTCACCGAGGCAGGAGGACACAGACAGCAATAAAACATTGTCAGAAGAGCTTTTCATTTTATTTTTTAAGTAATAAGTATTTGATGTATTGATGAGAATCAACATTTCTTGAACACTGTAAACCAAAAAAAAAAAGCTAAAATCTAGACCAGGGGCGCACACAATTTTTCGCCTGGAGATCTACTTTTTAAATGACGTGATGGGTGGGCGGAGGACGGAGTTGCTGTCATAGATCTAAGGCCGAGCAGTGAGGAGAGAGAGAGGCACCGACTGTCAGAACCTGGCCTAGCGTCCTTCTGCTCACCACTCGGGCTTAGTTCTGTGACAGTGGCTCCCCCGGAGGAGAGGACATCACAATCTACCAGTCGGTCTCGATCGACCTTATGGGCACCCCTGATCTAGACAGATACAACAGACAAAAAATAATGCAACTCTGTAATCAATACATCATGAAATGTATTTTTCAAAAAACAAGCAGCATCTTGCAGTCTCTTGCTAAGCTGAGCTGAAGTGTGAGAGGAGCAAGCAACAGAAGGGGCCAATCAGTTCATGTGCTGACCAGAAGCATGCTGATAGTTGGAGAAGCAGAGTGACAAAGAGATGAGCTCATCACTGTGCTGCTTCTGTTTTTACCATCCAGTCACCAGCTGGGGGCGGGAAAAGGACAACCTGGGCTCAGAGGCAGGGGGGTTGAATGACGCAGGCATACTGCAGAGAAGGTCCCTTGCTCTCTGGGTGTGGAAGCAGTGACCTCTCTGGGGATGTCTGACACCCTATGCTGAATTAGATCCAGAGCTCTCTAATCATGAAAATCCATACACCCCTATACATTGGAGAGCTCTAGCAATGAGCAGCAGTCTCTGCAATCAGTGTTTCTGTAATCTTCCCAGAGGTGCAGGCTTTATCATATGAGTTCAGCAGCTACAGGGAGTGGGTTCATTTCCAAGTGCCTTCAAGCAGGGGCGTAATACCTGCATGGCATCAGGGAGATGTCCTGGCCGTGCCCCGCCGTGCCCCGGGCCCCATAGCGGCCGCCTGGGTCGCTATGGTGATTGTTACGCCACTGCCTTCAAGGATCTTAGACCTCAACATTAAGCTATTTGTTAAATTGTTCTTTGAAAGTCGGCTATTGCCACTAAATCCCAGTCTAGTGTGGTCTGGTTTCCTTTATATAAGAGATGACAACAAAGGTGTTGGGTATGGACAGGCAGTAGGTACACGTGGTTCCATCTGAAAACCCTAGTAAATACATTTTGGAACTCTTTGCCACAAGCAGTGGTATCTGCAGAGAATATTGGTTAGTTCAATAACCAATTAGATACCTTTATAAGAGACCATAACACACAGGGGTACAGGTACTCTTACAAACTAAGACCACACAGGGACTCATATACACACGCACGCACCACACACACACACACACAGACACATAAAGGTTGAACTTGATGGACCTGTGTCTTTTTCTTTTAACCTCAAATACCTCAATGTTACTATGTGACTGCCTAATACTAACTCTACTAACTCTAGCATGGTTATACAAAACACAAAAATTCCCCAGCCTCAGCCTGCCAGCTAGCCTGCAACCAAACAAGTAACCCTGTCAACAGTATGCGTTAAAAGCAGAGGTTTTAGTTGCACAAACTTTTGGCCAAAAATATGTAGAAGCCACACTGCCGCGCCAAGGCACCTCTGCAAAGTGTAACGCATAGACATGTGCACCAGCCAAAAATTCGTTTAGTTTAGTTTCGTTTTGAAAAAAAAAAAAAATTCGTTTAGTTTAGTTTCGTTTTTCGGGTCCGAAATTAAATTAGTTTCGGACGAAATTCGTTAGCGGTAGTCCTGCCGAAATTCGTTTATGAAAAAGAAAAAAAAAAAATGTACTCTTCCTTGGCTGGACTTGAACCAGCAAACTTCACAATGGCAATCAATTGCAAGCCCTTACCTCTACCCACTACACTATAGCCTCTGTACTTTAAGCGTTGAAGCATTTGATATATATGAATGCAATATGTAGCAGTTGACAGCTGAGGATGTCAGGACAAAATGAAGTTATAATAATAATATGATGCCTTGCTCAAGCTCTCTTTCCCGCTGCTGAATGTTCTAGTCCCACAGGAAGATGGATGACGGAGAAGTCTTGTTCTCACAGAATCCCTAATAGGTCCTCCGCATCTACCCTTCACCTTTTAGGATGGCCAGCGGTCCTCATAGAAAAACCCCATTGATGGTATTTTTGTACATTGTGCAGTGGCTATATGAGGGGAGTGATATCAAACTACTTCTATATACCCAACAATATTGGTTTATGGTGAAATAACTGTGTTTGCTCTTTTCTGTGTTATAACTTTTTAAAAACCTAAATACAACAAGTTATATGGCCAAATATACCTACATGTAGACAAGAAGAGAACAGGGGAAACATTTTTTATATGTATATTGCGTTGAATTGCAAATGTTTATTTTACAAAAAAAGGAGATGGTAATCACAGCTCTGTCGGCTGAATGCCCCATGACTGTCATGTGATTGTAACAAACAGAAGTACGGCAACAACATAGATTTACCTGACATATAAAAACTAAACTCTGGGATCAGTTAAGCACATTGGAAAGTGGAAACTTGACGCGGCGACACTGCAAGATGGATTCTACACAAAATAAATTCTACCACATTCACAGAATTGATTCTAGAAGTCTCCTTGACTCCTACTTCTCTGACAAGGAGGACATGGTCTTCGGAGAAGATACTTTGAAATTCCCAATGATGAATCTTCACTATGTGTTCAGCAGAGGTATGTATGAAGCAGTAAGTTAAAAAAAATGACTTTATTTTATGTAAAAACATTAACAATATCACCGATATTAGTGAAAATCTTTGTACTGGTCTGTCAATCGTTTATCAAAATTAACAATAGTGTCCGCAAGCTGCAAATGAAACTCCCCATACTGGTCTATCAATAATTTATTGAAGTTAAAATGAGACATTTGTGGCTCACTACATGTATATAATGTATATGCTGGTTGCGAGTAACAGATTATGTGGATTGGAGCGACATTCACCATATTTAGTAAAACAGCAAAAACGTTTTCCTGGCACACTCACAAGCTAGCATGTATAAAAACTTGTCTGACTAAGGTTAAAAACAGAGGTTTGGATACACGTCTTCTGCAGAAAATGTGAAAGCCGCACTGCCGCGCCAAGGCACCTCTTATAGTGCGGTCCTAACTCTAAACTATCAGAGTCTCCATCTTGGAGCACATGGGGCAGAAGATAAAATTGGGTGCAGGTTTGTCAGGAGGAAGCCCAAGGATGTGCGGGATCCCTTGTGCATTCCTGTTCCTTTAAGGGGAGTTGGGCTTCCTCCTGACAAACCTGCACCCAATTTGATCTTCTGCCCCATGTGCTCCAAGATGGAGACTCTGATAGTTTAGAGTTAGGACCGCACTAAATGGAGGTGCCTATATGGAGGTGTGCGGCTTTCACATTTTCTGCAGAAGACGTGTATCCAAACCTCTGTTTTTAACCTTAGTGGTGAAACAAGTTGCGCCTGGCGGGTAGTTGTTTTTTAAATTTAGCCCTGCTTTGGGCAAGCAGAGCTAAATGTACAGCGGGGAAGCTGTAGTGTATGCCTGGCACCTTTGAAAATGCAGATATTACCATATAAAAGTAGCAGTGATTTCATCATCACTGTGCTGTACATAGCCTGTGCAGAGATTAGAGCTATGAGAGGGGCCCAGCAGGCACCACCCACTGCAGGTTGCCTATAGAAATCAACTGGAGGGGCAGAGACAAGACCAGTCACCCTGCACAAGGCGAGAGAGCAGCAGTAGCGACTGGTATTTATTACAGGAAGTTCCAAGTCTCACACTGGATTACTGCACAGGTCTGGAAGAAATACACAAAGCTCACCCAGATTCAAGAAGGATACACATGACTCTTGTATTTTTACATTCTGGCTGGTGAGTGTGCCGGGAAAACTTTTTGCTGTTTTACTGTTTAAAGCCCATTCCGTGTGCACCTTGCTGTAAAGCTGGTGACGAATTGATGAGTGCGTTTGTCATCTGTTTTGATTCACCATATTTATTCCCATAGAATTTTTGTACAAGTGATTCTGACTTGAGAAAGCTGGTCGGATGACCAGTGAAACATCTTCAAGAAAAATACAGCAAGTCCAGTTGCCTTGAGTTATTTTTTTTACAGATATACCATGACCTGGATGAATGAGAAACCTTCACAGACAGATATAAAAAGTATTTTTATAACTTCTATTGAGTGTCAGATTCTCTTGAAGTTCTGTGAGAGAAAATAAAGTCCTTTTGCTTTTCATCCTGGAATTTCCTGCAGAAGGCTACCCTGCTGCACCCAATGCATTGCCACCTGAGATTGAATATTGCCCCAACCCATCAAACAAAGGATGAGCCTGCTGTAAATAGTATATTGTACATACATTGTGCTGCACAAATTATTGGCTGCTATATAAATCCTGATATAATAATAATAACATTAATTATAGATAATAAAATATAATAAAAAATTAAAATATAATAAAAGATGTAAAATGTAGCATTTTTCTTCCTAAAATTAAATTCTTATTTTACTTGACACTAACATCTTAAAGACTTTAGCGATTGGGTTTAGATTATAATTATTTTGCCCAGCTCATATACTTAATATACACACAACACTTTATTTTATATCACAGGTTTTATCTGTGGAAACCTTTTGATCGCCCTCAGCCACAGCCCCTACATTCATCATCTATATTCAGCTTCCAACATCTTTAAAGATATAATTCTTCTGATGTTCAGTGAGAAATGTAGCATGGAACTGCGCCGATGGCTCGGAGATCGTACCGGAGCTTTTGATTGGACTCACACAAAAACTGCTGTTGAAGAGTTGGAGGGGAAAAGGTGAAGTGTCTGATGATTGTTTGTAACAATATGAATAATAGGCGCCCATATTGTTTGGTGTTATTGTTACATTTTGCCTGACTTTGCTTTGGTAACCTTAAGAAATGAGTCTGCTGCTGAAGGATCATTTTAACAGCACATGAAGGTGAATGTCCATCGCTTTTATACATGTTTTCATCCTTTATTAAAGGAGAACTATGAGGGGAGTGATTTTCACTCATCCTCATAGTTCGAGCCGACGTGTGAGAATTAAACTGTCACACGTCAGCTCAATAGATCGGGAAGTGAGCAAACACATACCGTTGCTCGCTCACTTCTCGATCATGTTCCTGCAGAGACCTGTGACTGTCACTCATGGCTCCCCGCAGAGATTCCCCCCCCTCCCCGCTCCGATCTTCAAGCGCTGACTGGCGGGAGAGGGGGCGGGTACAGCTGGCTCTGCCTATCTATCTGTCCTCCCATGACCCTTAGGAGAACTATGAGGAAAAACACTTACCCCATAGTTCTCCTTTAATTAAAGTTAGGCATGTGCTACAAATGTGAAAAATATATTTTTTAGCCAGATTAATATAAAATATTGAGTAATAATATTGTGCATTCTCCTTCTGTGCCTTGTGGGAAATCCGGCCCTGAGTGAAGGGAAATCTTAATGGAGCTTGGATAGCAGCAAAAACCCAAAAGGGCCTTTTCCCACTCTATCCAAAACTTAAAACAAGCTCGGCATACGTTTTATGTTCCCTGTTATCATTTTTTTTCAGTGACCAAACTCAGGACAAAGAACTGAACCTAAAAGCGTCCATCAAGCATATTGTGACGTGTAACCTCGAAGAGGAGAATCTAGCCCACCCGCTGGTGTTACCTCTTGCCGACTGCGTCATCAGTGCGGGGTTATTGGACGTCGTCAGTAAAGATGAGGAGGATTACATGAGGAACCTGGAAAAAGCCTCAAACCTGCTGAAAATCGAAGGTCACCTGATCCTGATTGGGGCAATAAATGCGACTTACATAACAGCCGGAGCGGATCGGATCCATGTGATGAAATACGATGAGAGCTTTGTAAGGTCCGCTCTCAGCAAGCTGGGC